AGCCAGATTCCAAGATAATCCTACACTGCCACTGCATTGGAACATATTCCACCCACCAATAGCTCAGCTCCCCTTAAGGTACCCAATGTGGTCCACCCTTTCAAAACCTTTTGACTTTTCCTTACTTACTCACTGGCATGAAGAATGGTCAGCACAAGCACCAATCAGTCGCCACATTATCTCTGACCCTACAGTTGGGGAACCAGGATTTAACTGGCCGTGCCATTATTGGGCATTACTCAACCGTTTTTCAACTGAGTAGGGTTACTGTCTCAAATCTATACCAATGGGGGCTTCACAATGACAATGAATGCCCTTGTGGACCAAGGGCAAACCATGTCCCGTTTTGTTGACTTGTGTCCATTTACAATGTTACCTGGTGACCGTCAAGCTCTTCCCACTGGTGATGACATCGCTCTAAGATAGCTGAAACAATATGCTGAAACCACATATGCTAAATAAAATTTTCAGCAGCTGTTCTGTATGTGTTGTATGTGGAAAAAATGATACCACCAGGCTACACTTAACTTACCTTGAGTTGTATTGAACCCTGTGCAAAACACAGCAGTTAGTGTCACTTAGAAACACAAATGGAGGAGGAGAAAAGGGGTGCTGGTGCCAAAATTGTGCATATATGTTGATTTCACATCACAAGTCTCATCAAGATACTACCAGCAGGTCACTTGCTGCTTCAGGCACAAGCTACAGTGCTCAGTCAATAGCTATGGCTGTGACAGGGGTTAACACAGGGCTCCACCATTCTAGCAGCTGTATAACATCAACAGTGTCTCTAGGCATGCTTCTTTTTCAGTGAAGGAAACAGCTTTCCTGCTTAAAATATGTACCCCAATGTTGGGAGGCTCATTTTGTATTGTATATGAGAAAATATGATGGTCTATAATGGGACACTCTCCACTCCTCTTTATGGGGTGGGAAACTAGGCAGAAAGAAATGTGGGAGAGAGAGAGCAAGCAGGGGAGAGCATAACTTGAGCTCAGTGAAGCCAGCCACCTAATTTTTAGGCACTGCAGAGAGCCATCTGATTGATGTTTCAGAATATAGCTGTGTAAAGGAGGTGTTTCTGCTTGGTTCCATGGGGATTGCTCTTGGGTCTAACTCTATTTAGCATTTTGTCAACAATGTGGAAGTAAATATAAAAGCACTACTGATAAAATTTGCAGATGACACAAAGATTGGCAGAGTGGTAAATAATGATGACAGGGCAGTCATACAGAGGAATTTGGATTATAAAATACACTTGTCTGTATTATAATGCAAACTTGAATCTAGGAAGAAAAATGCAGCCCGATCCTTACAGGATACAGGACTGTATCCTAGAAATCCGTGACTGTACTAAACCCTTTTTTCTCATGGTAAACATACAATTCAACATAATTTCCCTACAGCAACACTAGCCAAAAAGAATAATGTGGTCCTTGAATGTATAAACAAAGCAGTCGTGACTAAGAGTCAACTTTTAATTCTGAAGAAGATGCTGGTGAGACAACAGAACATTGTGGCATGGCTGATACCCACAGTTTAAAAACAATGCTTAGATATAGAGGGATATAGAAGAGGGACACAATGATACAAGGGATGGAGAAAATGCCTTACAGTGAGAGATTTAAAAAGCTCGATCTGTTTAGTTTGTCCAAAAGAAGGTAGATAAATGAATTGAATAGTGTGTTAGTATATTTGCAGGGGGAAAGCACTAGATACCAAAAGAGCCTATGAACTAGGAAAGAATGAGGTAAAAGAAATTGTGGTTTGAAGTTGAAACCAGATGAGTTCAGATTGGAAGACCCACTCTTAAGTGAGAGTGGTAGTAATGTTTAACTTTCTGGCATGGGTGGTTGTGGATTCTCTGTCTCTAGATGTCCTTAAATCAAGAATGGACATCTTTCTGGAATATGCTTTAATGAAACACAAGTTATGGACTCAATGCGGAGGTAACTAGGTCAAATTTAATAATCTGTGATGCGTAAAAGGTTAGGTTAGATGATCTTATGGTCCCTTTATGGCTTTAAACACTGGGCATTTTTACATGCGTTTTGGAGATGGGAGGTGGGAGTGCTTTCATTAGAGCAGGTCTCAGAGCTGTTCTAATTAAAATGCCCACAGCGGCTTGCGTATCAGCATCCCATGCTTCAAAATAGCAGTGGGGATGCTTTAGCTAAAGCTCGTCAAATGAGCTTTTGTTAAAGTGTCCCCCACCATTTTGAAGCAAAAGATGCTTAGGCTGGATGGAGTACACTAATTAGCATACTCCAGCAGACTCGATTAATTGCGTTTGCTCTGATGCGCTGTAATTACGCCATGTCAGAGCAGCCTCCCAGACATGTGCAGACACCCTCTAGTTGGAAGATATTTGGGAGATACTGGTTATAGCTACATTCTGTTAAAATGTTTCATGTGAGTAGAAGTTAATATGTTATCAAAAGAGATTTACTAGTGGAGTAGTGAAATTGTTTTTGTGAAACTGGGTGTTTTGTCATTGGCTTCAGTAGGGCTAAAATTTCACCCTATGTATCAAGGAATTTATACTGTACCTTCCACTTGTGATATGTAGGTGCTTTCCAGCTGTTTTTAAAAATCTCATATAGTGATTCTTCATATTTTTCACCTGTCAGTGTGTACATTTACGCAGGCTATATTCCTGTTTGTTTTTTGATTGATTGATAGTTATTTAGTGACTCGTAGAAACAAGACAAATCCTTCTAATAGATGGCTTTGAGCTGCACCTGTACCAGTGGTTCTGGAAAGAAAGTCTTTGAAGAGAAATGTGCAATAAAGAATTACATTTCTCAGTAAATTAAGATAACAATATTTCTGTCTTATCAGATGTTTATCATCATGGTATGTATGACTGCAAATGAAACTTAATGAATTGTTTTTTACCTGACATTCCTCCAGTTATGTCATGCAAATTTCAGCTGCAACATAAAGGCTTCATTGCACAGAAGTAAGGTGTAGTGCAGCTGCTACGTGAGTGAGCAGGATTAAGTTGGAATGCTAATCTGAATGATTTTTTGAGGTTAACAATCTTCTCCTCAGAGCTTATCATACTTTGTTACTACAGGCTAATTTAGATCCTTAAATTAGCAGCTACTTTAGGGAGAAATTTTCAGATGATCACTTTTATCACTTGAGTGTTTTAGTTGTATGTCATTTTAATCTCTAGAGAAGTTCTTTCAAAATTACTGGAGATGGCTGCGAACGCAGGCATTTACTGCTTTGAATTTCTGCTTTTTCAGCAGAAAGAATTGATTTAGATAAAGCAGTTGTAAGGTGGAGGGCAGTGGCTTTTATCCCGGAAGGTGAGTCCTGGTTGGCCATGTTTACTTAAAAAAAAAAAAAAAAAAAAAAAAAAAAAAAAAGAAAAGAAAAAAAAAAAAAAAAGAAAAAAAAAAAAAAAAAAAAAAAGAAAAGAAAAAAAAAAAAAAAAGAAAAAAAAAAAAAAAAAAAAAAAGAAAAGAAAAAAAAAAAAAAAAGAAAAAAAAAAAAAAAAAAAAAAAGAAAAGAAAAAAAAAAAAAAAAGAAAAAAAAAAAAAAAAAAAAAAAAAAAAAGAAAAAAGAGGGTGGGGGAGAGACGATCATTATAATAGTATAGTTCATTTCTGATTAAATTGAGCTAAATTCAGCTGTCCTCTACAAGGATTAATTATATAAATTATAAAAACTGGACCATAAAATTTTAAAGATTTATTCTTTTTGTATGCAATATTGTATATAGTCTACAGCTCCTCAAACTAATACTTGCTTTAATGGCTTTGATTTTTAAAAAAATGATAATAATAGGATGTAGGGGTTTACTTTTCAACTACTTTTTCTTGAAGGAGTTGAATTATTTTATGGAGGTTGAATGGCCAACTCCCTATGGGTACATACAAGCATTACATTTGGATCCACCTAACAAAGGTGGATCCCCCCTACCCAAAGTTACTTACTCTGTCTGCCCATGCCCCTCCCAACAGCGGCAAACATCTGCCAGCACTGTTCCCTGGCTGGGTTAGGGTAGCTTAAGGTAAGCTGCGTAAACCTAAACCAGGGCACAACGTGTTCATTGCACATGTACTAGTCTACTATTGAGGAACATAAAAATGAAATTAATAGCCACTGCCATGGGTATATAGATATATAGTGGGAATAGAATGGAAATGAGGGAAAATTTGACGTTCAGAGAGACCAAGGAGGTTGCCTTGAATATTCATTATTATTGGTATATATTATATAAATATGTTTATTTGGTTTTAAATGCACATACAAAAATATAATTTGACAATTCTAAATAGATAAATCTAAGCAGAACACATCAATAAAAGATGTATTTATGGCAGAGTGATCTCGTATGTAGTAGCTTGCAGTGATGAATACCTTCAACTTTCTTCCTTAACATTTGCAATGAAATACATTCTTTGTGGTCTTCAGTACCAGAGAAATGGAGGCACCAGCAAAGTAAATGCACTTCTGAATGAGTACACTCTAGGTTGATGTTTTTGGAGCAGCCTATCCATCAATCAGTTGACAAGGAAACAATGAGGCCAATTACAGAGTAGCAACAGCAACACCCTAAAATCAATACTTTTAGTATTGGTGCATTTCACAAGTGTCTGCTGTTTACAGATTTGTGGCTTATTGTGACCTCTGCAAATTCCATCTTCTGGCCTTTGATAGGATTGTAATTACTATAATTGTAAGGCAACATTACCTGTTTTATGAACTTTGTTAACAGAATTACAACAAATATAGGTGACTGGTTATATCTGTCAGTAAAATTACCAGCTGAATTAGGATATCCATCATAAAGACTACTCAGAAGAATGTCAGATGTGGGTTGCTTAGCAAAGTTAACCTTCTAACAATGGTGAAGCTGCATATTGTCGGGAAATTTCTAGAGTGATACCCATGCAGCATATTTTGTGCATACTTCTAAGACAGGAAGGTAATAACTTTTCAGTTGATTTTCTAACCTGTTTTATTCTTATGTTTTCCTTCTGTAGGTGACAGTCATAGCTCTCCCAAGGAGGACACTCCTACTGGCAGCATGGATTCTCTTTCATCCCAGTCTCCTACGCCTGCAATCTCCAGCAGCCCTTCTGGGTCAGACAAAAATCATCTTATTTTGGATAGTGGCGATGGAGGGGAATGGGCAACCAATCAGTAAGTTATGCTGTATCAGTTGGTTCTGGAAGAAAATGCTTTGTTGCCTTAACATGAATATATGTTCAAAAAATGTATTCCCCTCATCTTCTCCTACCAGGTGCACCCAAAGTGACTGTAGTTGAGTGTATAGACTACATTGCTATAACTAAGGAATCGCATGAATGAGTCCATAAAAAAGACCTTTGGTGTGGCTTTACATGACAAAAAGCAGTTTTACCATATTTTCTTACATACCACATGCTCCCAAATAAGGCACTCACCTTGTTTTTGGAAGGCAGAATGAGGAAAAAAAGATCTTTCCTTGAAAATATCAGTAACCATTCTCACAGGTAGAACATAGGCTGCTGCAGTAAGCTGGGGGTGCTCTGTTTAACCTATAGCTACAAGACATGGTAGGCATTGCTGGCTGCCCTCTGGAGAAGAAGAGGCCAGATGCCAGGCAGTTTGGTTCCTGCAGGGTCAGCCCTCAGCTGACTGGCAGGCACTACCTGACCCTAGTTTTTGAGCTGGGTGGGAAGGCAGCAAGCACTTGCTGAGTCATCTGAAGCCTCACCAAGCCCACGAAGCAGGGCCAGGAAGTTTGGTTTAGTCGCAGCACCTGCTGAGTTAACTGAGGACCTGATCCTGCTTGAGCTGAACTGCCCAGCACCTTCTTTGCCAGCCAGGTGGGTCCTCAGCTGACTTGGTGGGCACCTCTAATGCCCAGGTGGATCGAGACGAGGACCTGGGCAGCATGCTCCTATGTGATCAGGCCCTCTGGTCCTTGCATTGCTTCATCTGAACCACACAACACCCTCCCGCGCCCTCTTCCCCCCAATTCCCAGTAGGCAGTTTTTGGGAAAAAAGTGTGTATGCTATGTGTGTAAATTGTAAATACAGTATATCAAATCACATGCCAGATCACACTTTAGCTTCATCATATGGAGAGTCAAGATATTTTGCTTCTAGCAGTTTTATAATTTACGGTGTTTTATTTAGGCATTGCATAGGTAAAAAAGAAATAATGTTATACGTTGAATATTTTATTTCAAGTGACTTTAAAACCAGTGTATCTACCTATATGTCTAGCCCGAAGGTGTATACAAAGTTTAACTGTGGCCAATACACTGTGTTTGTGATTTAGGAGCAAATTTTATCCTTGGGTGTGTACATACCAAGTGCACTAAAGTTGATCAGAGTTGAACATTAATAGTCAAGAGCGGAATTAGGTGTCTATAGTGCATTAACATATAAGAATGCTTCCATACATTAAATTAAACTGCTGTGCAGTTTGTCACTTGGAATAGGCTTTGTAGTTCCTTAGTTAGCAAGCTTGATTCTAATTCAGCAAAAATGACATTGTGAGTTTTAGTATACCATGGCTCAATTCACAACACGTCCATGTCTGAAACATAAGGAGTTAGACATTTCTGATCATAAATCAAGCTCTGAGTGAATTCCCTAGTTCACTATTCCTACAAAATGTCATGAAAAACTCTCCAGCCTTGAGTGCCAAGAAGGTGGATGAAGTAAGTCTGGAGAAAAGATTTTGCCTTTTTGTTACAGATATTTTCCGTAATGGCATTTTGAATGGCCTGACCTGTGTGTGTGTGTGTGTGTGTGTGTGTGTGTGTGTGTGCGCGCGCGTGCGTTGGCACGCTTTTTCCATAAATACCAATAGTGAGTGCTTATTGATTTGTAATATTTTCCCCAAATATGGTGAAAGAACACTAGATTCGCAATGTTTTTTCCACAAATGCAATAATTTCTGGTTGAGAGTTGTAATCTTTTATTTATTTATTTTTACCCCCTGCTATTATTCTGATTTAGGTTTGTTTTTTTTCTGTGAGCTAAAGGTATGCATGCACAAGTAACAGGCCAAATGAGAAAAAAGTAGTGTTTGTTGAAAGCAAATATTTATGGCAAAATGAATGCAGTGAATAATTAAAAAAAACCCCTCAATAGTTATACAGATAGGGAGTGCTAATCGAGTAAATTGTGTTTTAGTAAACATTCATGGAATAGAGAAGGAAATGTTGGTTCTAGGCAGCAGCTCTGGGAAGTATTTGCTCTGGAGAGTGAGAAGCAGGTCCAGGCTGTTGAGACCATGCATGAAAGACTTATGCAATCCTGGTGGACCTTGACATAGTGTGTTCTACTACAGCTCTTTGGTTGCTTAGTCTGGGTAAGCTTCTGGGTTGGGGAAGGCACTGGAATGGCTAGTGGATTTGGTACTAGTTGGAGGCACTAGTCAGCCATACCAGGAAAGAGAATTCTGTGCATCTTAAACTAAATCCACAAGGCCTGTTGTTCCTCAGTAAGAGCAAAAAACATCAGTTGAGGATTTAAAAACGTTTGGGTTTTGTTCCAAATTGGAATGATAGTAAAATATAAAAATCTGGATAGTTTCTTTGAAACAGAAATACAATTCTCCACCCAGCTATAGCAACTGCCATACAGAGCCTAGGGCAGATGGAAATGTAGGAGAATCTGGTTTCTCAAATTTCTGCTGATGTTTCTAACTTCTGGGTATTATTTGTTGGCAATTAGTCTGTATGGAGCTGTTCAGTAACATTGTGAATTATGGATTCTTCTTGCTGCAGAACAATCACTTGCTTTGTTTCACTGGAGGATACTATATCTTAGGTCAAAAATTTTCAGGTGTACCAACATAATTTTCTATCTATCAAGTAGTTTCTCTACACAAATTGTCCTCAAGTACCTGTGATGGAGCACTCTGTAGCAAGATGACATTTTATATTTTTTTTAAACAAAAGAAACCCTGATTTCCCTTGAGAATAGCTGTTGTCACTGCAATATTTCTCAGCAGCATTTTTTGTAATGCATCTCACTGCCCTGCCCCACCTTTTAAAAAGTATGCCATGAATGTCATGTGAATATTTTGATCTGGCCGTTGATAGGCATAGAAGAGATCCGGTATTTCTATACTAAAGCTTATATACAATACACCTAGAAGCTGATGTTTTTATGTATACTTGCCAATATTTTTGGAACCTTACTGAGCCGAACATTACTGAGGTTCTTCTTTGAATATGTCAAGATGGTCCCTACTTCTACATGTTTGCGTGCCTGAGATTTGGATTTTTTGACAAGCAGTGTTTGCTGGAGCCATGCATGTCTCCTCTCTTATTTCAGTGTGTGAGAGCAGAAAATTCCCATGTCATTGTTGGCAGTATGATATAATATAACTCAGTAAAGGTACAACCAACTATTCTCTCCAGTACACCTATATGGATTTGGTTAAAGATAAAATTCCTTCACCATGTGGAATTGGAGGTGTACAGAACAATATTTACCACCTCTTTCTTAGGAATCTCCTTTGTTATTGGATGAGGCAATGATACAAGAATCCACTCAATGACTTTAAAAAGTTCCAGGACCCCTTGCGCAAAATGACAGGGTCACAAAACACCGAAACTGTCTGTTTTAAAGGAAAAGTATGATGAATTGCCACTGTGAGTTGATATCACCAGCCTGAATTAATTTTTCCATTAACAAAAAGATCCAACTCTCAGCCAGAGGGTTATGGCAGATACCTAGCCACTCTTCCGTTCATCTCCAAACACATAGAGAATAGTAATTGGGCCCTGCTTGCTGTTTCTTTTATCTCCAAAAAAAACAATACAAAAAAAAAGGCTTTCTGTGCTTCTGTGCCCTTTTTGACTCAAGTTCTTTGGTTGTCTCCACAGTGTAAGGAAAATCAGAGCTTCTACAAAGGGCACGTCTAAGGACAGGGACCCAAAGAACACAGATTTGGTAGACTTCTTAGATTGTTGTTTACACTTATTCTGAACAGGGTCCTAGTAGCTATCACATCTGCCAGAAGAGCAGGTTTCAGGAGTTTACAGCAGGATGAGGTGGTAGTGAGATCACAAAGAGTTCATTCATCAAAACCAGTTAGTTGATCACCCTGTCTTTCTGAAACCATAATTGATTTTTTGGGAGGAAGAAAATCGTGCACACTAGACGTATTCTATTCAATAGGACCAATCTGTTCAGGCCCCTCTGTCTGTTTGTAGCCACAGGCAGATGTTCTAAAGGTCTTGCCATTGCCTTACAAGGAATATCTAAACTTCCTAACTCTACCAGTCTTACTGGGGGTGTACTTGTTCCACTAGACATCAAGACTCGTGCTACTAGAGCATAAACAGCATCTTCTGCCTACTTCAGGAACTTGACAGTATCTGAAATCTGTAAACAACAAAGTGGAATGACCCACTGACCTTTATTACACTGCCTTGGATGTAGCTGCTAAGCCAGATGCCAAGTTCAGGAAAGCAGTGCTGCAATCACCGTTTGACTGATGCAGCTCCTCATTTCTGCCCTCCAGAAGGGATGCAGCTTGCAGGTCACCTACAATAGGATTCATAATGATGCACAGTGAGGGGTGGGGGAAGCAGCAGCTCTACAGTAATTGTGTTTTTTTAGATGTTATAGAGCCAATAACCAATCCTCTATCCCCTCTGAGTCTCTGGCAGCCATTGGCTTTTGAACTGCAGTAGAACTGAGGGAGGGGCCCAGTTACCCTGCTGTTTATGCTTATACAGGAGCATAAGAGGGCATAGGGCATGGGAGAGCACTGACGGATAGTGCCACATGAGGCATGTGTGAGGCTGATGTTATTATGGATCCAGCTATACGTGTACATCATCTCTAAGGGTTGCAGTTAAGATGAAGAATGCAATCTCACAAGATGCTGCAAAAAACCCCACAACTTGCAAGTTTATTGTGTTGCTCATAAATGATATCTAAGCTCTTTTAAAATGTGTTGTCATTTTAATTTAGAGTGGTTCTCTTTGTTTCTGTGCTACTAGCAGAATAAATACTCATCATTCTCCTCTCTTGTGGTGGTCATTTTTATTTTTCTAGCACTTCTTCTCTTTTGTCTCCCCTTTGCAAACTAATCTGACTCTAATTCCTCCCTGACCATGGGCATATATTCTCTCCCACTCTGTAATAGTAATGCCTTGCTATCTCTCCTTTTCTGTGTGCTGTTT